GAATAGAATAGAATAGAATAGAATAGAATAGAATAGAATAGAATAGAGGAGGAGGAAGACGAAGAGGGAGGAAGGAATAGAATAGAATAGAATAGAATAGAACAGAATAGAGAGGAGGAGGAGGAGGAAGATGAGGAGGGAGGAAGGAATAGAATAGATAGAATAGAATAGAATAGAATAGAATAGAATAGAATAGAATAGAATAGAATAGAATAGAATAGAATAGAATAGAGGAAGAAGAGGAGGAGGGAGGGAGGAAAGTAGAATAGAATAGAATAGAATAGAATAGAATAGAATAGTTCATTGGCCAAGGGTGATTAGATACACAAGGAATTTGTCTTGGTGCAAATGCTCTCAATGTACATAAAAGAAAAGCCAGATTAAATTTAGCAACTGTGTGATTAACTTCAGGACTGCAATGATTCACTTTACAACTGGGGCAAGAAAGGTCATAAAATGGGGCAAATTCACTCAACCGCTGCCTCACTTAGCAACAGAAATGTTGTGCTCAGTTGTGGGGGTAACTTGAGGACAACCCGTTAACTCTGGTTCAGCCCTAACCCTAACCCGCTTGCTCACATGTGCAAATGCACGTCTTTCAGGAATTTAGCTCGATGGGATGAAAGCTGACAATCCAAAAATGTCTGAGCATTCATGGAGGGAAATGCTCCACCTTTTCTCAATAATGGTTGTGGACAAGCCTTGAAGCTATGCTTTTTTTTTTTTCCTAAGGACAAATCAAGATGAATAGCCACGCACATGTTTGCCTTATCTCTTTCTTCACACATCCCCCGTTCTTCCACCGTGACAAGGAATTCCAAGGAGGTTTGTAAACAGCAAAGCAGAAATATTTTTTTTTAAAAAGAGCTGGCAACTTTTCAGCAGGTCAAGCTGTTCCCCCCAACCTTCCCTTCCTCCCTCCGGATTTTGTCCCTTTTCTTCCGAGAAGAAAGAAAGAAAGAGACCAGCCTTCAAACATATCCTTGATTTAGCATTATTTGTATAGAAAATAAGACCATTATTCCGGAAGATTATTTTTTAAGATTAGATACCAGTAACCATGACTGTGGTTATGTTTCTCAATTAAGCTCTTGCCAAGGAAAAAATATGATGGGCTAAAGAGAGAGAGAGAGATAAAAAGGGGTTTTTCTCTGCATTTCTCCTTTCAGAGATTTTAAAACTCCTGAGATCGCAGGCATTCTCAGCTCGATAATTATAATTTCCACGTCCCATTTTCAGTCTGTTTTCTTTTCTTTTTGTTAAGAAATGAAAATTTCTAGCCGCTGAAATATAAAACTTTCTTCCAGCTTTCCAAGGTTTTTTGGCTAACAAATAAAACAGACTCTAAGCTAAATGACACAGAGAGAAAAAAAAAATACTACCAGGAGGGGAAAAATAAGATCTTTCTTGATGGAAAGGCAGAGTGAAGTTATTTTTAAAGCAAAATGGGTTTTAGACACAGCAAGTAGCAAAAAACATCCCTTTAAAAATAAATTAATGCAAAGAGAAAATTGCAATATTTCTAGCAGGGGTCCCCTCCCCCAAGCTTCTAAACTTTGGAAAAGTTGAAAGTATGTCAATGCTTCCATGCCTGCCTCTAACCAAGCAATGATGGTTAAAAGTGTGTGAATTGCACTAGCAATTTTGCCCTTTGCTCCTCCTTGTTTATATCACCTTAAAACGTGCTTGACCCTTTCCTAACTACGGATGGGTCACCCTTCCCTCCTACTGACCTCCAAGTCTCTGCTCTTTCCTGCAAGATCTGTTGATCTCCGTCTCCATGACAACCAGCTTCTGGAAGCAGAGGCCTCTGGGAGTCGTAGTTTGCTCCTTTGCTTCAACCAGTTGCTCCAGCTGGGGAAACAGGGATGTTAAAAAGCAAGAATAGGAAAACAGAATGCGATTTCTGGAGGATTTCTAAGAGAATGGACCAGCACTTCCTCTGCAATAACGATCAATAACATTCACCTGTTTGTTTTGTATTAATTTTGGATTCTCCCTTCACCCTTTTTTATGTCGTCAATAGAAAAATAATTGTTATGGCAAACAAACCAGTATAATAAGTCAATATAGGTGGCTCTCAGCTTACAATCACAACTGTGACAAGAAATTATATTGCTAAGCGGGGTAATTGTTATGTGAATCTCGCCTGATTCTACAACCTTTTTTGCCACAGTCATTAAGTGAAACACTGCCGTTGTTAAGCAAATCTTCCCTAATCAACTTTACTTATCAGAAGCCCACTGGGAAGGCGGCAAACAGTCATCACAATCACAGATAGTTCCTGACTTACCACCATTCATTTAGTAACTGTTTGAGGTTATGGTGGCACTGAAAAAAGGGGCTTAAAGCCATTTTTCACACTTGCGACCATTGCAACATCCCCATGGTCACATGATCAAAATTCAGACGCTTGGACAACTGACTTATATTTATGACGGTTTCAGTATTCCAGGGTCACATGATCCCCTTTTGCGTCTTTCTGACAAGCAAAGTCAATGGGGAAGCCGGATTCACTTAACAACCGTGTTACTAACTTAACAACTGTGGCAAGAAAGGTCACATAAAGAGGCAAAGACTCACTCAATAACTATCTTGGTTAGCAACGGACTACCTGTATTGGCGGGCCATACCATAGCTCCAAAATTTTTAAAAATTGTGAAGTTCTTGTAGCTACGAATAAAGGAAACGCCAACATTGACTCAAATGGATCTTTCAATGTACTAGGTAGTCCTCATCTTATGACCACCAGTGAGCCCAACGTTTCTGTTGCTAAGCAAGACAGTTGTAAAGTGAGTTTGCCCTAGGACCCCTGGTGGTACAGTGGTTAGAATGCAGTATGACAGGCTAACTTACTGTTCACTGCCAGGAATTTGATCCTCATGGGTTCAAGGTTGACTCAGCCTTCCGTCCTTCTGAGGTCAGTAAAATGAGGACCCAGATTATTGGGCACAATATGCTGACTTTGTAATCTGCCTAGAGAGGGCTGGAAATATACTGTGAAGCAGTATATAAGTCTAAGTGCTATTGCCCTTCCTTCTTTTCCTCCTTCATTCCTTTTTCTTTCCATCCTTCCTTCCATCCATCCATCTATCCATGATGCACAGTGGTTAGAATGCAAGGTTGCAGGATTTCAATCCTGACCGGCTCAAGGTTGACTCAGCCTTCTGTCCTTCCAAGGTTGGTAAAATGAGGACCCAGATGGTTGGGGGCAAGAGGCTGACTCTGTAAACCGCTTAGAGAGGGCAGTAAAAGCACTGTGAAGCAGTATATAAGTCTAAGTGCTATTGCCCTTCCTTCTTTTCCTCCTTCCTTCCTTTTTCTTTCCATCCTTCCTTCCATCCATCCATCTATCCATGATGCACAGTGGTTAGAATGCAAGGTTGCAGGATTTCATTCCTGACCGGCTCAAGGTTGACTCAGCCTTCTGTCCTTCCGAGGTTGGTAAAATGAAGACCCAGATTGTTGGGGGCAAGAGGCTGACTCTGGAAACCGCTTAGAGAGGGCAATAAAAGCACTGTGAAGCAGTATATAAGTCTAAGTGCTATTGCCCTTCCTTCTTTTCCTTCTTCCTTCCTTTTTCTTTCCATCCTTCCTTCCATCCATCCATCCATCCATCCATCTATCCATCCATGATGCACAATGGTTAGAATGCAACATTGCAGGAAAACTGCCCACTGCCAGGAGTTTGATCCTGACCGGCTCAAGGTTGACTCAGCCTTCTGTCCTTCCAAGGTTGTAAAATGAAGACCCAGATTGTTGGGGGCAAGAGGCTGACTCCGTAAACCACTTGGAGAGAGCTGGAAAGCAGAATATAAGTCTAAACGCTATTGCTATTGCCTTGTTTTACAACCTTTCCTGCTAAAGTTGTTAAATGAATCATTGCAGTTAAGTTAGCAACACGGTTGTTAAGCGTCAACTGTCCAGTGGGCGAATCCAGAAAAAAACAAACTCCTGGGACATTATTTTACCAAGAGTACAAACTTTACTGAATAGATCCACAGTGGCACAGAAGAAGCGTAAAGCCAGCTCTGGATTTCTCTGCGCAAAAGCAAGTCATAGTTCATCATTTCCACTCTTCCCCACAGTCCATTACGTCCTCCAATCCTGTTTGTCCATTTTGTTTTTGGGAACCAGCCGATCACACTGTGGCATCTGCTCTGGGTGCCCTTGAGGGAGGGGACCAATGACTTATAGGAATCACTAACGATGATTGGATGCCATTCCCCGCACCCTTGAATTCCAATCCACCCCACCCACCCCTTATTCTTTGTCAAGCTGCCAGCTAAACAGAATATAGGTAAAAGTTTGAGTCAGTCTTGACATGCTGACAACCCCTCCCCCCCCCCCCCCGAAAAAGGGTAGACCTGAAACAACAATAAACATACATTTTTTATATCCATCTGTCTTATACATTTTCATTATTCTCTTCCAATAAAAAATACAATCTAAAGTTAAAGAGATATAATTTGAATAAATAGAAGGAAAAGAAGTAATAAAGAGAAGTTTGGGATAAGATATGAAGATGAACAGATAAGGTAAATATATATATCAAATTGTGCTTGTTTGGAAATGTGATAACTTGGAATAATTCTGTCTTTAAATAAGTTGTTGTATTGGCTTTTTAAGAAAAAAAAATTCCTATGTCATTATATTTTATGTTTTGTTTGTCTGTGTATTGTT